AATTCCCGTCTTTCCTTATTATAACCCAGACCTCCTGTGATTACACAGTAATACCTATTCACTAATCCCTCCTTGATATTCTATTTCACTGCTGCACATGATTAAAAAAAGGGAGTGAAGAATGATTCTACAAATACCAGCATGTTACATGGACAGGATCTCAATATATATTTGGTACTAGGTGTCCATGACCTATAAATCGCCAAAATCATCTGACCTTGTACATCTACATTTACTAGAAAGAATCAATATGAACAAGTAATTGGAGCATTTTCTTCTTTTTATGACATCCATATTGACAAGCGAAGTTCTAAAGCCTGAAGACAATCACAAAAAACAGAGTTTTAGTGGTTCCTTTCCTATGTTCTTTTCCTGTGCTACTTAATTTTTTTAAATGCTACCTCTCAGTGCAACCCACATTCTTGAAAATAACTTCATTTTCTAGTTATTTTTCTTGTTTGTAAAAACCAAGAATAGGGGAAAATAAAGCAGCAATGAAGTTGTCTAACCTTTAATTATGGATGGGATGCTGGAAGAGAAGCCAGGAGACCAAGGATTCTGTTCCTAGTTCTTCCATGGTGCTACGAGAATTCTGTACTTCATTGTCTTCATCTGTAAAAAGGTGGAAAATCAGGTTTATGCACATTTGAATACACTTTCTGTGTAATAAACTTAATTTCAAGAAATACTATAAGCAAATAATTAGATTTTATTTGCTTTTACATACCATTTCCATTTTAAGTGTTTATTCCAGCTGAGATTGAAATAAAAGATATTGTAAGAATACCAGCTTCCTGCAGAACTTCTGGACCAGCCATACATGAAAGAATAAAGTATCCTGCTTTCCAAGTTTACTCCAGACATCCAGGTGTGACTACTGATCAGCAAATTCATTTTTTTGAGAAAAGAAGAAAAGACATATTTATCAAGACGTTAAAGTGTGTTTTATGCCACTGTTGTTTTGAGGACAACATTTTAAATAGAACATAATCTGTGTCACATTTGCAGAAGTGGCCTCTTCAACAACTCAACTGTTTCTATTTTGGTGCCAATTTGCATAAAATGATCATGCACCTAATATACAGACTTAACCTTGTATTCTACAAACAAAAATAGTGAGTCTTTAAAAATCACCATGTTCAAAATCATGCCAGCAGTTTGCCCTCCTACGTTTTCAAGAGAGCTAAAAAAAAGAAGTAGGAAGTGTATAGAGAGAGGAAGGTGCCAGACTTGGCACTGGTTTGAATAATCTGGTTTAAAGATCATGTCTTTGCAGCCATGATATTCTGCAAGTGGTATAGTTTTACAAGATTAACTGAATTTATTTTGACACTGCTGTGTATTTGGTTTACAATTGATATTTCTATGACAAAGTTAGTACAAGGCCAAATAATAGTCAGAAACTCACCCTCAAAATTTGAAACAATTATTATGTGAGAAAAATCATCATCACGCTGCTGAATATTCATAGAGCTTTTACAACACACTCTATTCTGATCCCACGTCCCAAAGACATAGTAAACCTGAAAAAGGTACACACAGCAATGACAGTAACTGACTACTGCCACGTAAGAAATAATTGAATTTATTATGTCTCTTTATTCTAGAAAAGAGAGAAACAACATGGCAAAGGTCTACATAGGCCACATGGAAAAATTAATAAAGAGCAAAGGCTTATTGTATCTTACAATATAAATATTATTTGCATCAAACGAAACTAGCAGGTTGCCAGGTTCAGAAACAGATTTATTTATGCACTGCATGAAAACCTCTTTACCACAGCACACTGTGGAGGGGAATAGCTTACATGTGTTCCAGAAGAATTCCCCGAAGTCAATTTAATCAAGAAACACTGAAGGCTATTAAATTGAAAAAAATGGCAGCTGACTGAGGAAGGCTCTGGCTCATCGACTAGTGAATGGCAGAAGAGTATTCAGGCCTGTTATTATGCTCTTCTGGACTGTTCCTATTGACTGCTCCAAGAGACATGGTGCTAGGACAGGTGGGCCTTTAGCATACCGTTAGATACAGCATTACTAACCCTCAGTCTGGAAAATCACTTCAAGTGCAGGTTATAGAGAATGGAGTACATGAATTTAAGCCTTTGTGAGGACCTCTTAGTGTTCTTTTTAAAGGAAACAGCCTCATCATAACAAGCATTTATGTTTTATTAAAAATTATTAATTTACTTTAAAATCAGTTTGGGCTACTAGAATTCTGCACTACCACAAAATATAAGCAAAACCAGCTATGAAAAAAACTCTGTGATGAGGCTATAGACTCCCCTCAAATCCCAGCTTTTAGTAATTTTCTGACCCACTTACATGACACAAATTAGTTTCTCTTCACTTATAAAGAATTTTTGCTTTGCTTTTGGCTTTATACTCTTTACTGTGTCACACAGTGGAATCACAGTGGCCTTGAATGACCTGACAGTAACACACTTGGTTTGAACAGGTACTTGTATGACTCTTATTATTTGTGAAATTTAACTGCTTCTGGTATGGTAGAGGCATAATCTCTAGAAGAAAACACAGCAGCACATGCACATATGGGTTTTAACCATGAGGCAAAATGAATGCAATTTTCTACTCAGCACAAAATTATTGTGTGGAATATGTCCATTTAGGAAAATATCAAAGATAATATCCAAAATGTTGAAAGTCATTCACAAACACAAAGTTTTGTATATAATACAGTGTCTGAGTATCTCTATGTAATATCTCAAGGGGTCTAAAAGGAAGGCATTTTACAAGCTCTGACAAGTTGAACAAGTTTTCTTCAAAGACTGATTCATATATGTTTGTTTATATGTGTGATTAAATGTCTTTTAAACTTCAAATAAGGATGCAGGTAGGTTGTTGGTTTGTTTTTTTTTTTTTTTCCATTACATCTGTGATAACCTACTTTTTTACAGTTCTTTTTGTGCTACTGGTAGCACTATATATTTGGTAAAGAGAACAAAAGATATGTAGCGAATTGTTAATGGCTTATTTCATTTGAAAGAAAGTCTCAACCCTGACCAACATTCATATTTTTGGAGAAGAGTGATGGGAAGAATAATTTTATTCACAAAAATGACCAAAATTTGTTTTTACAAAATAATTAATCATGCAAACCCGTTACATAGCAGTCTCAAGCATTTCTCCAATAGGATTTGGAATCTGAATACGTGTCCAGTAGAGAATAAAAGTTCATGAAAATTCTAATCAAATTGAATCAAACTCTGCGTGTTGCAAAGTTCATGCCTGCCAATTTATAAAATATTTATACAACAATTATATAATATTATCATACTAATTCAGAAGAATTCTAAGAAATCCTTCAGGTAAGTAGCTTGAGTTCTGGGTTTCTCAATTAAGCTTTCCTAACTTTTCTTTTTATTAGAATTAATTAGAGCATAAATCTTTCTACTACATTAGAGCACAGAAAAATGTCATGCAAGACGTTTTTCCCCATCCAGGCTGCCTGCAACAGTAAAACATAGTCTCAAGTTCTACAAAAAATGTAGATACTCACTCTACAACAAATATAAATAAAAATGAAACAGGAGAAACAGTCATTATAAGAGAAGAGAGAAATACAAGTCAGTCCCACAGTTCCACTAGTGAAATGGAAATAAAATGAGTTGCTGGTATGTATGTTTAGAGTATGTAAAATGTCCATGAAGAAACTGCCATTCTCTGCCATCTTCCTCTGTTAGAAAAGTCACCTGCAGCATTCAACTGCAAAATGCAGTCAGATTTAATTTGATATTGCAAGCTCTGGCAGGCAGACACCACTTATCAGTAGGTGTCTTCAAAATCAATTACATAATACCTTTAATGAGGAGGAGGAGGAAAAGTGTACAAGGTAGCTTTTTCTTGAATAAAAATCTAACTTTCTCTTATCCCAAAACAGAAAGCTTCCACCTATCCCAGCCCTGAGATAAGATGGAGACTGCTGACTCAGTAAGAGGTAATTTTTCAGCTCAAGTTTTTAGTTAGTGCAGAAAGGGAAGGTAACTACAGAAGTGACAAGCCTTTCTTGCCCCTACTTTTCCAGAACTCTAGTTAACTAGCTACCAGATTACTTGTCAGGACAATATGAAGGGCAGCCAACAGAGAGGGTTGTGAGGCAGCACTGTGAACTCTTGTGAACTCACAAGAGTTGATAATGGGGAAGGCAAAGACAAAACTCAACAGGATGAAGAGCAAAAAATTAAGCTTCGTTTTGATAAAAATGAGTCCAAGAATGTTGCTAAATATAGATATGTAGATTTTTATCCCCCTTCAAAGTCATAGTTATTAAAAAGGCAACATACATTCATGAGATCTGAAATCTTCCCTTCAAGTTTCTAAAAAAACCCACCCAACCCCTCCCTCCCCCCCCCAACATCAAAAAATCCCACATACAAAGATGTTCAGCATAAGACTAGATCTTCCAAGCAATTAGCAGAGACTATGACTTCAGATTTTAAAAAAGCACTTCTAAAATCATCATCCTTCATAAAATAAGAGTGGCTAGTCAGGCACCCTTTGTTTACATGTAAAGTCTCAAAAGATACCAAAAAAAATCTCTATTTCCATGAACAGTGCAGCAGGCACCTGAGAACTCAACTGACTTGCACAAAATAACTCAAGGATTTTATAAGATCAAAAGCTGAACCTACAACAACAAATACTGAATACACTGCATAAAAAGGGAAGGTTTATGCCATATGTGAATTAATCCCACTCAAAGCACTAATAAGGCCTCCTTTAATACTGTGTGATGTTTCAGCACTATCCTTCCAGTTAAAAGCTAAAGAAAAAAATACAGATCTAGACAGCATGAAAAAGCTGGGTATCTTGTTATGGCTAGACAGAAGATTAAAGAGTAACCTTGTTACAGTTACCAGATATGTGGAAATGCATACAAGGCTGTAAAGAAGAGAAAAATGAACCGTTCTACAGCTCTATGAGGTTTACGACAACACACAGTAGTCCTGAACAACCACCAGTGTGACTTAGGCTGGTGCCTTTCTAGCCTTACCACATTACTGGAGATTTCAGGCAATATAACCAAACACTCATTAAAAATGGATAAAGTATGGGTTATCCTACTCTGTATCAGGAGGATGAAGAAGATGGCCTTCCTTCTAACTCCTATCAAATCATGTGAAACATAAACCACAGAGAAGAACAGAAAAGATGAAATAATTTCATTCTACTATCCTCCAAAAGCTGAGATGCATCTGCATTAAGTAGGAAGATGTATATATACGTATTCTGCCATGGTGTAACAGTTCTACACGTTTTTGAACTATTGCCAACACTATGCAGTACAGCAACTTGTTTTATTATATGCAGATTTTTCTGCATTGTTGCTAAACAGTACACTGGTCCAAAGTTACTAAAATACTTAAAAAACTATACATTATGTAAACAAAACATAAATAGGACAGCATAGTTCTTTGTACATATAGTCTAGTACAGATTGTTAGGAATTCATGAATATGTACAATTCTACACCATAGATCGCATTTTTACAATGCATAAATATATATTTTTTTTTTACAGAAACAAACCAAAAATAAATTTGACAAATAAAAAGGAGATATATACTGTCATAAACACACTGGCAAACAGTCCATGTAAGATGGAAGATGTGCAAAATGCTAGATTTCTCCAAACTGATTAATGATTAAACTCATTGGTCATTTCTGACCTTTTTACTAAAGACCTCTCTGAAAACTTCTGACAAACTAAACTGATTTTCCTCTGTCCTAAGCCCAACAGGAAAGGATTCTAATCTTAAGCAATTTTGAATAAATCAACTGTTTCAAACAATGTAAGAAATTATTCCATAGTTACAGCTTCCAAAGTCAGAAGAATGCCCCAAAATTTCAAAGTGGCTCATTTGTGGTAAATTCAGGATGCAGCTTTGTCAGGTTTATCAAGGCAAGATGACTGAGATGCAGGGAAGACAGTGGCAGGACTTCTGCTTGTGGACACAACAGGAGGCAGTGATGAAGACAGGGAAGAAACTTTCGATGCTGGAGTATTTATAGCATTCAAAATGGCTCCCTCTGGACTGACCAACAGTTTTTTGATAGAAGTATCTAAGTGAAACACTGAAGTGTTATTTGGTATATGAGAGTTTGGAGGACAAATGCCAGAAATCACAGAAGATGTAGCTACAACAGTAGCAGGAGATTTTATCACTGAAGACACAGAGCGTGTCACTGCAGACAGTGGAGTACATGAGCTAGCTGGAGTACTAAGCATCTGGGGTGTTGCATGTACGATGGGTAAAGCATCTGCGGACCCAAAAGAGCTCACAATTTTTGTAGAGCTTTTCAAAGGATGTTTCGATGTTTGCCAACTTAAGGAACTGCTTGGCGCTAGCAGGACTTTTGAGGTGACTGGATTAACAATTGGTACACCCTGAGCCTCTTGACCGTGGTTAACAGTTGAAGGATGAGTCTGTTTTGTATTACAAGAAAGGAGAACAACATGGCTGCCAGCTCCAAGGCCTTGTGGCGGAACAACAAAACGAGTACCATTAATCATTATCTGAGTTCCGGGTGCCAAAGGCATACAGGTGTTAATGACTATTTTCTGCTGAATGCAAGGTTCACTTAGATGACCTCCTGCCTTGCTCGTTACAGTTGGTGAAGCTGCAGACATCTGAACGGTAGAAGCACAAGTATAAGCATGACTTTGCTTCTCTGTACTCGGAAGCACCTGCTGGCGTTGCAGGGAATTAAAACCGGGAAAAGTAATGACTTTACCTGTATTTGGTGATGGGGGAGGCAACACGCTCTGAGGTTTGTGAATCGCTGCATTACTTGGCACAGCAGCTAGAACTCCTGATGACTGAAACTGAAGCAGTGTGGGCAACTGGCTTTTTGGCACTGCAGGAGGAACTGCTGCCAACTGAGGAACTGTATGTAACACTCCATGAGGGGTGGCTACAGATCCAGGCAAGCTATTGACTGGAAACTGCAAAGCAGATGCTAAGTTTTGAGGAGATACTGTTGGTTGTGTTGTTGAAATCAGCACAGATGAAGCAAGATGTTCTGTTTTCACAGTTGATATACCCACAGTATTTCCAATATTCGATGTACACAGTCGATTACCCAAAATCTGCTTCATTCTTGAGGGATCATTTCCACCAATCAAGACAGCAGGTTGTGTCCCAGAAGAAGCCCCACTTGATGTTACTGAAACTGATTCTACACATGCATTTGCTGTTGTTACTGTCAACACATTTTCAACTTTTGCTGCAGCACATACAGACTCATTAACTGACACAGCACCTCGACCCACAAAACTCGGCGTAGGAACCAAAGCACTACTATTGGTCAAAGACAGTGCCAAGCCCAAGCTCTTTTTGTCTTCCCCCTTAGAAACGGCAGAGTGTAATATATTAATTGGTGGAGCCTGTTGTGCATTGCTGTAAGTATTTACAATGGTTTGACCTATATTCAGTCCAATTTTCACATCTTTCACTTGAGCAATTGTTGGTGATGAATTTATTCTTACTGGTGCTCCTACTGTAGATGGGATCAGAACCAACTGTGGCTGCTCTGTGGTACCAACAAAGGTCTTACATAGGGAAGAAGGAAGGTTATGCTTCAGTGACTCTGCAACCAGCTTGGTGGTTGATGGGCCACTGGCGATTTGTGTGTTAATGAAAACCAACTTCTGAGCATTAACACCGGTGGATGCCAGAGACGGTATAATACTGACTCCTGATGCTCCACAGGGTGATAAAATAGGTGGATTTGTGACTAATGTAAGTTTCTGGACTGGAGTGCCACTGATCAAATCTCCATTTGCTGCTGCATTAGACTCAGACTGTAGAACAGGATTAGTTTTAGTATCACCTTGCTGCAGCACAGAAGAATTTGGAGTTAAGACAGAGTTACTTTGTCCAATGCTAGTCACACTAATGGGACTGTTCAGAGTTGCTGACATCACATGGCTAGTTAATGAAATTGAGGATAAAGGAGAGGACATATAGCAGGAGTTCTCTACTACCTGACCCAAAGTGACCCCAACAGCCGGCTGCTGTAATGTGAATTTGATATTTTTATCCATTGCCTGGGTAAAATCAGCTGGGAAAGCCGGAATGTTAACAGAAGCAGCTGTTGAGGGGGCAAATCCAGAAAGAGATGGTTGTCCAATATATGGTAGACCAGATGTGGTTGTTGCTACAGACGGAAAAGTAGAGCATGATAATGCTGTGGTTTTTGGCACAAGAAAGGCCTGAATTTGAGGTGCGTAAGTGAAAACTGAACTAGAAGATATGCTGCTAGGTGAAATTTGGTCTGGGTTTGTTCGCACTTTAACAATTCCTGTGTTTCCACCTCGTGTTGTGACCAGAATAGATTGTGATTCTCTTATACACACAGTCTTCAGTTCTTGCCTAGTGTCAAACGAGTCAGTTGTCTGCTGTGATGCAAGACTATGAAAGGCAGAAGCAGTGTTTGTAGACCCACTTAATGCTGCTGTTGTGGTCAAAGACTGGTTAGCTGTGGGAAGAGCAGGTGAAGTCAAAGACACAGGGAATGTGGCAGTTGAAACTGCAGTCTCAATTCTGTGGTTATCAGCTTGGCTCACCTTAACTGGTGATGGTAATAACTTACCTGCTGAAGTTACAGCAGGCAATGGCTGTGTAGTGTTTATGGGACCAGTCACTTGAGACACATGGGTAGTATTCTTGTTAAAAATTGTACTAGGTGACTGAGGTGTTAAGGAAACACTGACATTTGATATTTCTGATAAAGTTGTACAGTGCACCTCAGATGATTTTGGTTGTAGTGACTGAATGTCCTTGGACACTATTTTCCCTTCCTTCTGCTGAATAAGAAAATTCTTAGGTAAAATAAGTACTTGTTGCATGACTTTTTCTCCAGTTTTAAGGTCAATCACAGGTTGCATCTGAATTTTCACAGAGCTGCTGTGAAGGTCTATTGGTACGCAGTGGCCATTTGGCATTTTGTATACCATTTGTAAAGAAGTCATTGCACTGGTGTGGCAGGGCAATGCTGGTTTTATCAGTGATGATTCCAAGGGTGATATCACTGGCTTTTCAGAATTAGATTCATTTATGCCAGGGGGATGTGAAAGTTGATTTTTTAAGGTCACTTTGTTCCCATTATTCTTGGCAAGCAAGGCCTGGATAGGTTTGGTCCCTTTCAGAAAGTTTGATACTGATGTTGCAGGATCTGACAAGGAAAATGATTCTAGAGTTGACCCTTCAATTTGTTTAAGCTCAGTCAAACAACTATCCGGCTGCAGGCTACTTTCTGAATTCCGGACAACAGCTTCATTAGTGCTCAGCTTAGTTTTCTTCCTTGGTGAAAGCTCATTAGTGCTTTGATCCAGACAATTACTTCGCTTGGACTGTCGTTTAATGCATTTGGGCAGTGTCTTCTGTATTTCTTTAGAAGTTGACTCTTTTTTCAGAATTCTGTTTTTTCCTGCAGGTAAATTCATCTCCAACAGTTTCATTTCATCTGCAAGGATATTAAAACAGAAACTGTGTTTTACACATTTGCAGCTGATATCTCTACATAGCAATTTTATAGTGTCTAGTGAAAGGCAAAATGTGAGTTTGCAAGTGTAAGGATAATGTAAGGAAAATACATGGAGACACAGACCCAACAAAACAAACATGGAGACAATGACAAGAAACAACCTCACCAATCACACCAATTGACAGTTTATCAAGGAAAGGCAGGTGCCCCTTCTAGGAAGACCAGCCTGGATTTTGCAACTGATAGGATCGGAGATCCGGGACCCTGGGCTGGGAGGGGTGAGGTAATCAGCAGAGCTATACAAACGCATGAAAGAATGTGCAGAAGTGGCTGCTGCAAGGACAGAGCAGGAGGTCACAGCCTGTGTGCCTCGTGCTGGCTACCGGGGGGTGTCTGTATCTTCCCCAAATACTGTGTGTGTGTGGGTGATGTATCTGTATTCACTGGCAAATTTCAATCCAGACTAGCTGGTGAGCAGCACAGGCTGGGGTCTGGGCTGGTGTATCAGGCAGACCTGTAAGTGGGCAGTGTGTGCGGGACAAGGGTGTGTCACATGTTTCACACTGAGCTGGACCAGCCAGCGAGTAGGGGACACACAAAGTGGGTAAGAAGGTCCAGGATGGAGGCAGGGGTGCTAGGTGGGTAGAGGGGCTGTACATTGAGGTTTTGGCAAAGTTCTGGCAGTGTGGGACTGCAGGGGGCCCTCTGTAAGGAGGGGCCAGGACCTGCCCTGTGACAGAGGCAGCTGGGTCTGAAACAGGCTCAGTCAAGTCCTGCAGTGGATCTGTCAGCCAAGCTGGTGGTCTCATGGAAAATGCTGCACAGAAGAGCGTGAGAGAGAGGAGGCAGGAAAAAATGTAGGAGAAACAACCTTGGAGACACCAAGGTCAGCAAAGAAAGATGGGAAAGACGTGCCAAGGAACTGGAATGGATTCCCTGGCAACCCAGGAAGACCATGGTGAAGCAGGTTGCACCCATTCCATGGAGGACCATGGTGAAGCAGGTATCTACACTGCAGGCTGTGAGGACCCCATTCGACAGCAAGTGAATATGCCCTGAAGGAAGCTGCAGGGCATGGAGAGCCCGCACTGCAGCAGGCTCCTGGAGGGACCCCACACTGGAGCAGGGTAAAAGCGTGAGGAAGGAGCAGCAGAAAAAAATCGTTATGAAGTGTCCTCAATCCCCCAGTTCTCATTCTCCCCTGTGCCACTTGACACAGGAGGAGGTAGAAGAATTGGGAATGAAGTTGAGCCGAGAAAGGTGGAGATGGGGCGGGAGAGGAAGATGTTTTAGTTTTTGTCTTTGTTTCTCAGCGACCTACTCTATTTTCAATTGGCAATAAATCAAATTAATTTTCCCCAAGTGAGTCTGTTTTGCCCATGACAGTAACTGCTGAGGAACTTCCCTGTCTGTATCTTGACCCATGAGCTTTCCCATCTTATTTTCTCTTTCAGTCCTATTAAGGAAGGGGAGTGACAGAGCAGCTGGTTGGGCACCTGGCAGTCAGCCAAGGTCAACCCACTGCAAACAAACTGCGAGCAGGGCTACTATGTTATGACAGAAATAGTTAAGCACAAAAATGGCAAAAAACTTGCAATAATCAGAATTTTGGTCTTGGTCATGTCTACCCCTCTTCTAGCCTATATCCATCAGATACCTATCACAAGCTATTTCAGTATTATCACAGTAGTAGTTAAGGTATAAAGTAGGACACAAACTCACATGGAAAAACACAGCTCCTGAATCAAGTTCAAGCTGTCAAATTCCAGTAAATGCTTACCATTGTCTGGATAATCTTTTTTGGGAACTTCCACATGTTCTAGAGACTCTGAAGTTTTACTGCATACTACTGCAAAAGAATCTTTGCCGGAATCAACTTCACTTTCATCATTACTCCAGAATTCTCTGGTAAATTTATCATGGTCTGGATGTCTTTTAAAGTCATCATAGTCCTTCTTCAATCTAGACCTTGAAAATAACAAAACTAACTTTAGTAAAGAACCAGTCTGGTTTTAATTTTTCTTTTTTTTTTAATTTGTATTTGCTTCCATAGAAAAAGGTGGTGTAGAATTAAGTGACTGTGCCCTTCAAAAAGATTCAGGGTAGCTCTGTTTGCAGGTCTCTAAAACCTAGCAAATGTGAAGCAACACTAATGTCCCTTCCCTCACAGAAACTGAATTCTATGTTATTAGGTCCCCTAACAAAAGGTAGAAAGATTGAGTCAAATATTCCATCTCTGGTTTACTGCATCCATCTTCTGTTTCTTCCTTCATTTTGCATTGTAACAAATTTAGCTGTATGGATTTGAATACTAACCTTAACAAGTCTACTCCTGCCTCTGAAGGCAACCTCAACTAGAGAATGAAGTAAATCTTGTTTTTCTTAAATGCATTATGCTTTTGGCCCAGCTATGGGACTGTAATGTACCCTTCCCCTTCCATAAAACTTCATCTCTGGTCCATGAGAACAGCTGCCACTGTCATTTCCACAGGCTCACACTCCACTACAGAATGTGCATACGATGGAAATAACATAGCTGCTTTACTCATCTGCACACAGTTTAGAAACCCATTCACTTACCTTGATATTCCTGAACTGCTACATACTTCCTTTGTCCCTTCTTCTAAACTATTGTTTAGATAAGATCTAGGGGGCATTTTAGTGTACAAATACAGTGAACCACAGGGTTCAGCTAGCGATTACCAACACAATATCCAGAAGGATTACTTAGCAAACACATAAACAGATTACAGCAATTAGCACCTCGTGTGGAATAGAATCTACTCTAGTCTGGATCTAACCCTTATGACAGTAAGATCTTAAATTTACCCATTCTTATGTGTTAAAGTAACACTTGTTTGCATTAAGTGTAGCAACGGCCAGCTGCTCCCTAAAGGATGGAGAAGTAGCCAAGCATGGCTCACAGCTGGCAGGGCATGCGCCTCACCAGCCAAGACACCACCCCCCCAGCCCTGAATGATGGAGCAGGGCAGGCGTAGTAGGGGTGGTAACTGGGTTCGACCAAGAGCCCAGATCATCAGGCAAGTTCCCAGTGCTGAGGCAGGTCTAAGCTTAAGCCGGGTAGTCAATTCACAGATTCAGATCAAGACCAGGTCTAGTGATGGCTGCCAGGGTCAAGACCCAATCAAGTGATTTCTGGGCAGGTCCACAGTCAAGTTAGTCCAAGGTCAGTCTGAGGGTCAGTCCAGATCAGCATGACCCATGGCCAGGCAGGGTAACTGCTGTAGTTGAGATGGAAACTGGCATTCCTATGGCAGAGATTGAAGGCTGTAGAATGACCTGTAATGGGGATCTGGGGCTTAATGACAGGTGATGTGGATGGAGGCCCACATGACCTAATAGTTTACTTACAGCTTTGACACTCTAACTAAGAATAGACAACCTTGAAGTTCATATGCAGATGTAGTGTGGACAGTACTTCATCTGTCATTAGGATTTTGAGCTTGAAGTCTAGGTGTAGAAAAATTACAGGGCACTAATGGATCACAGAAAGATCCACTACTGCACTAAGGCTCCTGGATTGGAATTTCCTTTTTTCTTTTGAGGAACTTAGACTGTGGGGCCAGCAAAAAAATGTGATCAGGGGGCACACATAACCTTTCCTTTTAAACCTTGCTGCTATTCAAATACCATTCAACATTATACTGTCATAATTTTGAAAATTCCAGAGGACCTTTCAGGAAGGGAAAAAAGGGATTTGATCAGGAAGAGGGCTCCTACTAATTAAAGACAACAAAAAAGGAAGGAAGGAAAACTCCAGACTCTTATTCCACACCAAGGTCTTGCATAGAAGGAAGGAGCTCTGCCAGCCCTTGACAACCCAGAGGACCAACACTTGTCATTCAATTAGTAGATGTCAGCAGCTGGCTGAGACACCCTATAGAGACTGCAATTGCAGCTAGACTTGTGGAGGTGGCTGCTGTTTACACCAGCATAGCTACCTTACTCAATTGCTTTTTCCCTTCCTATGACACCTTGATCACTGTCATTGGAGCTTTACAGATGCCCAGCAACTGCATAATGAACCATATCAAGACATCCATCTATCCTCCACCCATGTCTCTTTCCTACCCACAATATTTAAAGATTGTCTTTCAGCTGGAGCTGTTCCTTGGTAAACTGTTCGGACAGACTTATAGTAATGTCATGGAAGTAACTAGGATAACAGCCTGAAACATACATCCTGAGAAATAGGAGTTTAGTTGACCTCAGAAATTACCCTCCACTCTAAGTGCATGCTTCTCTAGCTATCAGCACACATATACACAAGACCTCAGCAACCCAGTTCCAGACTAAAATTTACTCTTACCAGTCACAACTCATACATAGTCTTTTTACACACTTAACAGTTGTGCTTCAGTGTTCTAAAACAACATTTTTCAAACACGAATACTGGGCAATAAAACATCTCAGACCTATCATTTCATATGGAGTTCAAGTTTCTAATAATTACTTGCTTTTTAAATGTCCACGTGGCAAAACAAAGGTATGACTATAGCAACAGCTGTGAACAGCTAACAGACAACAACGGCACCAAGCTACAAGACACAATAATGATACCAAGTCACTATCAAATATCTCCATCGGATCTGGGTAGCATCTTCCCTGCTACTAATACTTGCCCTTACTAGATTTAAATCAGTCACAGCTTCACTGACATTTCTCTGACACATGTCATTCCAGATACATTTCAAATTTACAGGGTCACAAGACCTCCAAACAATATTTTAAGAATTTATTTGTGGAGAATTCATTAACAACCAATTTAGGTAGCTTTAGACAGGAAGTAGTCTGACAAAGTATTCTAAGAAGCCCTGGTCCAGTGGTTTTCAGAACCCCTTAACCAAAGAAACAGCAATACAAATCCTAGATGGATTGTGATACAACTATTGATACGCATGCTTAAGGATACTAGAGCATTTTAGAGGGAAAAAAAAAAATATTAGGGCGTTAAAGTCAACTTTGTTTAGACATTGTAAGACTGTAACATAAAGTAGTTCTTCCAACTAAAGCACTGCCAGTGCCTTACTCCTCTTTCCAAAGTATTTTCATTGAATTTATTTGAGAAGCCAACTTTTTGATTAGTTTTTGAAAGGTAAATTTTGTTCTGTTTTCCATTGCACGCACTATTGTTAAAAAAAAAAGGCAGCTAATTACCTGTTTCTTTGAAATGCTTTCATTAGCTTTGGTTCCCATGGTAACAATTCGTTAAGCAGTCGTATCAATGTACTGTGCAATTCCTTTACCGCTTGCTTCCGGTGGTACCATCTTCCCTGCAAACATAAATACCATTTATTTGTCACTGCATTAGACCTGAATCTTGTTATATTGTGTTAGTACTACAATAATCCTGGTATACAAATACGAGGAAAATAACTGGAAGAAAACATTAGTAAGTTTCACAGTTACATCTTCCCTTAACCTATGTGAGACATTAATACTTCTACTCTCTTTTTTTTTTTTTTTTAAATATTGCAGAGAGATAATGCCCTAGTTAAAAAAGTGACACTGCAACGATTTTCACTTTTTACAGGTCAAACCTGAAACTGAAGCAGAATCCTACGAACACAACTTGTGTTTAAAATTACTTAAATGAATAACTAACATAGGTAGCAATCCATTCAGCTCAGGGAAACCAACCATGTATGTACACTTCCAATAGTTAGACATAAAATTTCTACAGAAAATCTTATGTTAACCTCATCTAAAATAAGTGCTATAATTTATGTTATTATTATTTGCAAAATAATTTACTACAATTTTCAGGAATAACCACACAGTTTTTGCATTACATTTTTGTAGTTTATTCAAAGGTCTAGATAAAGGGTTTTTTTTAAACAGAATTTTTGCAAATTGGTCATTTATGAAGTAACAGACTATGAAGCAGAGACCAGTTTTCCAACATGAAATCTTTAAGCTTTTAACTCAAATGTGTAATTAAAATTGTTCTCTTTTCCAAACTTATATATGTAATCTTATGATCTTCCATAAAGAATTAATGTTTTAATAAAGCTGGAAAGGCTGAATGAGGATAGAAAACATTGAGAAATGACAATTAGTGTGTATATACATATATATAACACAACCACAGTGGCAGTAATACTGCAGAACACATCTCTTAGCACCCTTAGATACCCCTGATAAGTATTTCTTACCAAGACTTTATTCTCTAGTTTATTACATAAAAGACTGAAAAATGCATATACATCTAACAGAAATGAAATGTGGTATACTCCAGTACTTCCGCACTCTAATAATTGTGTATTTTACGTGAACAACAATTTTTTCTCTTGACTTGTCAGAGAGGATGTAAGACAGTAAAGAGACAATGGTTCTACAAGAAAAAGACTAGAGACTTGGAAACTTATTTATTTTACATATATATTCAGCTTTTGATAGAGCTCATATGCTTCCTGTGGTCCAGCATACCAAAAAATGTAGGGCAGGAAAAATTGTGTAAAGCTTGAAATGGCTGCCTTTCAGCAGTCTACAATAATGATTTTTTTGATGACTTCATAATAATTCCTTTTGCACATTTTAGCAGATCTCTCCAATGTACAGTAAGATCAGTCAGGCTGAGTGCTTGCGTGAAGATCAGGTATCTGATTTTATGGATAATCATCAAGATGTTACATAGCAAATCCAACAGCTACTCCATCACTCTTCAATTAAAGTTACAAAAGCAAAGATTTTACATAGGAAATTATGCCACACTGTCATGGTTTAACTCCATCTAGAAAAATACCATGTGCTGCTCTCACAAATCCTCCTCCCCCTGCTCCAGCAGAGGGGAAGAATGGGAGGAAAGAGAAAAGGAAGCTCATAAAATTGAGATAAGAACCATTTACTAACTGAATATAAATGAAATATATATACATAAAAGTTAATATATACAAATACCAATCATAATAAGTAATTAAAATAATAGAAAATAAAACAGATGATACAATTTCTCACCACCCACCAATTGATGCACAGCCAGGTCCTGAGAAGTGAGACAGAGCCAGAGAGCCCAAGAGTCATCACAGCCCAAGAGCCGGAGCCTGAGAGTGATCGCAGCAGAGACTGAGTGAACCTTACCAGCGACAGCACAACTGCGATAACAGACCCACCAACTCAT